CAACAAATAGCTACTCTGTGCTTGCAACCAAATGTCTTCACTCTACCAAAACGATGGTCAGTCTGCTAGACCATCTATTACATCCAGATGTTTCACCAGCTCACGGTCCGAGGCCGAGCTACGACTACGAACGAACTCCCTGGCCGGCGAGCTGCCATGGCTCCGGTGCGCCTTGTCCCCCCTGCCAGGCTGAGGCTCACATCTCCTCAAGCTTAGGGGGTCCAGCATATGGCGCTCGCTGTCCGACACCGGGCTTGGGCAGATCTCACAGTTGTTCGTCGGAGATGTGTCAGACATGCAGTGCTTGGTATCAGCTTGCGGTTCTGATGATAACTTACGAGATGGAGACTGGTCCTGCTTTGTAGGCATGTTTTGCACATAGCCTCGGCTCTTCACCTGGACCATGAGATGATGGAGCAGCACCACAAGCTCGAGGATGTGCTCCTCCGTCTTCGCCTTGTCGGCGTGATAAAGCGTCTGGACGCCAGTCACGCTGTGCCGGGAACCTAATTTCTCATCCATATGAATCCTGTAAAATCACTATGTCGGGTTATGTTGCAAACAAGTGTATCCGATATAGTTGATGGAAATTTAAAGGGGGCTAACCCAGAGTGTGCCCATTCGCTGACCCATCCAAATCCTTGGTGTGCTCTGGTACAAGTATGGAAACAGTGAACTTTGTAAACAGAGAGAAAGAACTATGCTCAGAAATCAGGATGATTTGGAGTACCTTGTTGTATTTTCTGCTATTGGCAGAATCCAGCAAAGGGTTTTCTGCATTTCAGCCTTGATTTGAGATACAGTACGCTGCAAAGAATCACAAGGGTCGCAGTTAGTAATACACTTTGATGTGACAATTATAGTTACAAAATCAAGTCCCGATTCTTCTCAAGAAACTATATGCAAAATGTCTTATCACATTCTATAATATGAACTCCATGTACTCCTTTGGATATCTTGCAGTTACTCTGTCCACATTGGAAACTGAACTTTCAGTGCTTCAGAACTGAATCATGCCTATGGACAGACAAATAAAACTCTACTAGTTCTAAGCTCAATCGAACAGATTTACATTTCTATGACAGACCCCACGTGCATACATAAAATCATAGTTAAAAAAGGCGCACCTAGGCTCTAGGCGTTGGCAAAACGCATTGCGCATAACTACGCTTAGTCTGTGCATAACTGCGCATAAGCATGCGCTTTGGTCAGTAAAGCGCAAGGCGGTGGCAAAACGCACAATTAACGCCTAGCGCTTTTTTGAACTATGCATAAAATTAACCTGTAGAGTTTTACAAGGCAAACCTCCTCTTCAGTATTAACTGATTGCAACCGTGACCGCAGAGCTGACTTCACTGTTATTGGTAGTCCATGGTACAAGTTCTCCCTAGCCCTAGGAGAGAGTGGCTGAGAGACCTGCACATGCACACAGAAGATTGAGAACTCTATGCCTTTTTCTTATTTCTTAAGCAATGCTGTATCACAAATAGAAGGCTAAAGAGTATATATTAGACTGAAGCATGTAGACTTTGGTGATACAATATATGCACTATGACGTTGTAACTTCTTATTTCAAAATTTACTTTTGGATTGCTATTTTGCAGCTAGGAGACGGACTAATATTTATGTGGGTGACCATAAACATTAAGTACAGGTCACCATTGAATACTTCTTTTCACTGAAAGGAAAGGCAAATGAATAAATGCACAGTTCATCAACATAACAGAAATAGTTCCGTAGAAAAATAAGAGATCACATGGAAATTGACTACATTAAGCAAGCAAAATAAACATGATATGGGTCATCAAATTAACTTACTATGCTTTCAATTTGATTGATAATTTTAGCGTAATGCAGTGCCAGACAACAGGGACCTAGCTTTTTGTTCTGAACTTGCTCGGTGAAGCCAGTACCTACAGGAACTGTTTATTCAAAGAAGTATCAGGATATTGTCAGATACATTTTCTGTGAACAATAAACCAGCCAATCAGTAATAAATTACCAGCTTCACCAAATGCATCCCGGATTTGTTTATCCAGAAAAATGACGATATCAACAAGCTTTTCGACAATCTGAATAGAGGATAACACAAAGCAATGTTAGCATCCATCAAAAGACACAAAAAACAATTTGCGAGTAGCAATTCATCAAAAACGATCTCTACAGAACGCTGGCAGGCATAACCCAACAGATATAATTACAGAAGGCTGAGATATAAAGTAATGAAGCAAATGTGGATGAAGATAATTACATCTTCCAAAGGTTTGGACCACAAGGATTTCTTCTTCAAAGTTTTCACAAGCTTCCTTTGGCGCTTTAGTTCACTGTGAAGAATCATAACACTCTCTGCAAAGATTGAATACAATAAATATCTCTAATAGAAAATTTGCAGTACATGGTGTGTTATTAATATCATCTATAAAGCATAGCCAGGAAGAAAAGTTGCTATTCTTGTAGCTCATTATCTAAAAATGTGGAATTTTCCTCTAGGCCCTGGTTCCCCATGTAAGAGCCCTTACTGTGATGATTGCTTTACCTCAATTTATCACAGCAACTATCAAAAAAAATTTACTTTGAGCCTTGGATCAAGGGTCAGTTTTGAGCCTTATCTTTTTGCTTTGGTGATGGATGAGGTCATAAAGGATATACAAGGAGATAATCCATGGTGTATGCTCTTTGCGGATGATGTGGTGCTAGTCGATGATAGTCGGACAAGGGTTAGTAGAAAGTTAGAGCTGTGGAGACAGACTTGGAATCGAAGGTTTTAGGCTTAGTGAAACTAAAGCTGAGTACATGAGATACGGTTTCTGTACTACTAGGCACGAGGAGGAGGTTAGCCTTGATGGGCAGGTGGTACCTCAGAAGGACGTCTTTCGATATTTGGGGTCAATGCTGCAGAAGGATGGTGATATCGATGAAGATGTGAGCCATCGAATCAAAGCTGGATGGATGAAGCAATGCCAAGCTTCTAGCATCGTCTGTGACAATAGAGTTGCACAAAAGCTAAAAGACAGGTTCTATAGGACGGCGATTCGACCAGTAAATGTTTTATGGTGCTGAATGTTGGCCTACTAAAAGACGACATGTCCAACAGTTAGGTGTAGTGGAGATGTGCATGTTGAGATGGATATGTGGCGACACAAGAACATATCGGGTCCGAAAAGATGATATACAATGATAGAGTTGGGGTAGCACTGATTGAAGAGAAGCTTATCCAACATCGTCTGAGATGGTTTGGGCATATAAAACGTAGGCCTCCAGAAGCGCCAGTGCATATTGGACGATTAAAGTGTGCTAATAATGTCGAGAGGTCGGGATAGACCAAACTTAACATGGAAGAAGCCCGTAAAGAGAGATCTGAAGGACTGGGACTGAAAGGCTATGCTGTTATTGTTGTTGTTGGAGCCTTGGATTGCAATAGGTAAGATAAAATGTCATCACAGAATATGAGGTTCAGGGCAAAAAAAAATGCATCACAACTAAAAAAAACATCATTTTCCCCTTTTGATGGAAAACTACAGTGCTCGTTGAAGTAATTTTTTCTGTATTAAGATCTCTTCACTAAAGTCTTAATTTATGTAGTACAGTTACTATTTCCGGGTGAGATACTGGAAAAGCAATATGGTTCGGGCTTTTTAGGATAATCTTTGTGTCCTGTAGCATAATAGTATAGGATGATTTAGAACCAAATATCAACGGTCGGCAGAGGTAGTACAAGAGGAATTGTCTAGATGAAACAACCATGGAACACCTAGAGCATGAGCTGTAAAAGCTACTCCCTCTGTCCCAAAATATAACATGTTATTACATCCAATATACTCATATATTGGATGTAATAACATCTTATATTATGAGACGGAGGGAGTAGTAGATTAGATCAGGTGAGCTGTAAAAACTAGCTGTAGTCTCCAGAACAAATTTGATGTGTACTGTAGCACCATCCTAGAGAGAGAGAGAGAGAGCGCTAAGCTTCACTGCTAGTGATCTGCTTGTGTTTGAGAGTGTGCAAAGCACATCTCAAGGAGTTGTGGGTCAACTCCAACAAGTTTTAGCATCTACTGAAGTTGCTTAAGAACAATGCCATCAGTCTGATTGTACCTCGTCTAGCTGCTGGTACAGACTCCTCCTCATGAAATTTCCTTTGAAATTCCTGCTCCAATCTATCCAGAGCATACAATTCATGGTAAAGCTCCTGCAGTTATAGAACTAGCTCATCAGCATAAGCTTCAAGCCAGAGTATGAATACAAATTCCACCTTCGAACCGTAGTTCTAGCTGGCCGGTATGCAGGAGACCCAATTCTTAGTTATTAACCTACTGAGAATTTCTTGATTTCATTAAAGATATTTAGCCGATAATTTCAGGAAGTACAATTGTAATCATGATAACTCCGCCTATGTCTTCTAGGCATAGCCGGTCCCAAGCCCGGGTAAAGGAGGAGGGTTGTGATAGGCTTGGCGAGCCAACGTAAAAACTAGCCAGTCCCATAGGTATGAAACCCATTTGAGCGAGAATAGTACTAGGATGGGTGACCTCCTAGGAAGTCCTCGTGAAAGGGTTTCATATCTAAGGGTTGTGATAGGCTTGGCGAGCCAACGTAAAAACTAGCCAGTCTTTTGGGTATGAAACCTATTTGGGCGAGAGTAGTACTAGGATGGGTGACCTCCTGGGAAGTCCTCGTGAAAGGGTTTCATATCTAGCCTACCCCAACTTGTTTGGGATAAAAGGCTTCGTAAGTAAGTACAATTGTAATCATGATGTTGCCACTTCTTGACTACATAAACGTTAGTATTATCATCAAGTACAAGCACCTCCTGAAGTTTTTTTTTTTCGAGAAAATGCAAAGGACCTCCTGAAGCCAAGTTCAAATAGGAGTGCACCTCCTGAAGTATAGGAATGTGGAAGTTAAGTACTCCCTCCGTTCCAAAATAAGTGTCTCAATTTATAAGTGTCTCAATTTTGTACCAGCTCTAGTACAAATTTGTACTAAGCTCAAGACACTTATTTTGGGACGGAGGGAGTAGAACATACAGAAGTGTTTTGAGCCAAACTAATCAGCTGCTGGAAAGTAGCTCCAATATGCTCTTTTGAATGATCCTGGGGCATGTAATCTTTCGTTGACCTGCACACGAGAGTAACCCATAGTGTTCAGAACAAGGGCTTATGAAATGGTAAATATTGACATGTCAAAATGAAATGCATAATTCTCAGAAGTATACTTCTCAAAATAGCGTCCCAGGTTATGCCATATCGGGTTTGTACACAGGTCACCAAATCGAATTACTTCTCTCAAAAAGATGGCAAGGTCTTCCCTGTTGGGTTCCATTTGAAGTCCACATCAATAACATCTGTGGTAAGATGAATTAGAAAATTAATGAAAACTTATTTCTTAACTAACCATACCTCTTGTCGATAGTAGCAATATGCAGGAGCTCACTAGAATTTGAGGAAATTAATATTTGCACACCGTCTGAATGCAAGATTTCTTCCTTCAGTTCTTTTATACTCTCGTCAGAGCATGATCTCCACAAACTGGAAGCTTTAGCTATTGTATTTCCGACTTCAAATGCCAAAACATTGACTTTATTTCCTTGATTTTTTCCCCCATAGAGAAACCCGCTGCGATGATTCGAACTTGCCCTGCCACTGCCAAGGGTATCTAACACCGCAACAGCCTTTTCCAGACCAGCAATGTTGGCTCTTCCTATGAATGCACCTGGTTCTAATACCTAGTATAAAATAGTGCGTTAGCTAATTGGAAAAGGCTGTTGCTATCTTCTCAGGTAATAATCTCTGATTTCTATGTTTTGAATAAGTAATTGAAAGATAGTAATTTGTAGCACAGAAGAGAAAGGAGAGCCGTACTGTCCCTTTAAGAAATAATAACATGTCCTAACTTACATATAGAAACTAACAATCTAACATAGGAAGACATGCTTGTTTTGAGCTGGTTATACTGGACCTTCTAACGTGGTTGCAAAAATGTGAAATATTGCTACGTGTTGCTTTGATCTGATACAATCAAGCTACTTGGAACTTGAATGTAGTTTCTTTTTTGGACGGAACAAGGCAGCCAAGGCTAATAAAAAATCGACATGTCAACTTTGTCTCGGTATATGGAAACCTTCGCATTACGCCACATACACACTCCTGCTAATTTTACTTCACCGGTACTAATGACGAGATACCCCCTACTCATGTTGTTTCCATGACAACATATATACTAGATTATTAGCGGTACATGTATGAGAGATGGTGTTAACTGCCACACCTTATAGCTAGGTTATATACAGTTGTCATTACCCTACTCTATGCATACTTCTACAAACAGCCTGTTTGGTAACCTTTTGGCAGGGGAATGGGAGTTTGTACAAGAGAGTTCATGGAGAGATTAGGTGTCAGAAACAGATTTTTACTCCCATTCCCTTGTTTGATACATGTTGGGAATTAGTCTGAGATGGAGGCCTGCCCACAAATTAACAGGGTCCCCCATGAGAAGAAATCGGCGGGAGTTGGCTCCCTCAACTCCCATTCTCCTTCCCACTGGAACTCACATTCCTTCTAATCAATCAGTGGACTTTAAATCTCCTCACCCCTCACCCCTGAACTCCCATTCCCCATCTCTTTCCCACGAACCAAACACGCAGTAACGGTTCCTTTGGTTTAAAGGAAAAGTGGAGGGAAAATGTAGAAACAGGAAATTCTCCTGTGGTGGCACTATTCATGCCTTTGATTCAAAGGAATGAGGCAAACGAAAAACATAGCAAAATTTCCTTTGATCTCAGTTCAAAGGAAAAATGCAGGAATTCTAACATCGACTAGTACCAATTTTTCAAATTCCTACGCACAAAGAACAATATATTTTTAGTGGCATAATAATATTCTAACTAAACATTTCATGTGGTTTGACTTTCATTTGATCACGTTAATTAGGATTCCTGTGGTTTTTCAATTCATGTGAACCAAACATCAAAGTTGACACAATTCCTATGTTTACAAATCCTCTGTTTTGTGCATGCATTCCTATCATATTCTTGTGTTCTTAGAATCCTGTGAACCAAAGGAACTATATTGAAGTGTTACCGTAAGACATCATTTTGTTTTGTTATATCGCTAGGTGTGAACTCTTGTTGGTTATATCGCCATGATATGAAAATAAAAACTCCCTTTATCGAACGTAAGACATCTTTTGTCATCGTCATTAGTGTATAAATGACTCATACTAAAAATAAAATAGGTTACTGTAATAAAAGAATCATTAAAATGTTACTATTTCAAGAACAAAATGAGTGTGACATGTTAGGGCATGCGCAATGGTTGATAAGGTCTTCCTTTATATATTCCAAGTCAACTAGAGAAGCCAAAAAATATATGTCAAATAATGGATTATATCTTAGCTAGTGTTATCTCTAGCAATTAGTGTTTGCATAATCCTTAATTAAGGGCAGCCCAGTGCATGTAGCTCCCGCTTGCGCAGGGTCCGGGGAAGGGTCCGACCACTTTGGGTCTATTGTACGCAGCCTTTCCCTACATGCATAATCCTATCATTGGCATAAAATTTTAACTAGAAAAGATGTGAATAAAGAAATACATCTCATATAGTGGAAGCAATTGCAACTCCCCACCAATTATTCTACACTCTATATACATACATACATATATATATGCTCATTTCATTTTATTTGTTTCATTCTATATTGAAAATAGAGAACACAAGTAAATAACTTGTGCCATTAGTGATCACACCTGGTCCACCGACGACCCTGTATCTTTCCTTACCTCATTTCGAATGATTGTCTCTGTTTCATTCAGCTTATTCACAATTTCCCCTATAGACGGCCTTTTGGATCGATCAGCCTCCACACAACTTACAGCTATTTCAGTGCACCTCTTTACTTGTTCAGAGTATGACTCCAGCGGATACACTGATGCTGCACGTAGCCTCTTCCTCCAGTTTGTCCGTACCTACCAGTTTGAAACATAAAGCACCGTACTATATCAGTAAAGATGGCAGTTTACTCGCGAAATATTTACTACTGATATCTGAAGAGGCAAATTTTTCTCTTACAAGCTCTATGAATTGTTTGGCAGACATTTCAGCACTTCTGAAGTAGCCCATTGGTCCAGTCATTATCTTTATAATTACAACACCCAAGCTGAATATGTCAAACTTAATTGAGAGAACAGATGCATCTATGTATTCGGGTGGTACGTATCCACTGCATGATACATGATATATGTTAAAAAAACACCATATATTTAGTGCAAACAGAATTTCTGCTATAGAAAATTTCAGTTCACATGATAGTCATGCTTACTGTGTTCCTATAGCACTTTTTGTGATTTGCGATTGCTCTCCTCTAAAGAACCTTGACAAGCCGAAATCTGCGATTTTCGGCATAAGTTTCTCATCCAGTAATATATTGGCCGGTTTTAAATCTAAATGGTACATAGGATATTCCAGTTCCTCATGCAGGTATTTCAGACCCTCGCAAATCCCCTTAATTATTGAATAGCGTGTGCACCAATCATGTCCACTAGTTTCATCTACAGAAACATAGAAAATATCCATGAAATATATAATATTAGGAACTATTCCATGCATTTCTACCTCCTAATACAAGTAGATTACAAATGGATTATACCTGAAAGACATTTGTCAAGACCTCCATTACGCATATACTCAAAGCAAAGTGCTCTCTTTGTTATGTCAGCAAAAACCATTCTTCCATCGTAAGGTACACATTCTCGCCGAGTTTCATAGCAATAACCAACTAATCGCACAATATTTTTGTGGTCCAGATCTGCAAGGTTGAAATATTCTTTTTCAAATTGCTCATTGTCAAGTCCTAGAATGTCATGAAGCATCTTCACAGCAATCTTTTCCCCGTCTTTATGCTCCCCCTATTCAATATTTCACAAGCATGGTTTAGTTTTCTGTTTGTAGCAGTATATGTTATGAGTAGGGAGCACAATGAGTTAATACTCATGCTAGAATATATGCCCACCCGTATTCGCTAATGTTATATATTGTTGTTATATGACATAAAAATTGCACGGTAGCGCAAGAACAAGTATATATGCAAGCTAGTCATTCACGAGATCAGTAGATCAAAAGAGGCTTGTGAACTTGAATGTGCCTGTATTCATATGCACGAGCAATGTTCAGGATATCGGTAACTGTTACCATATCGGTTGGGTTATGAGTAGGGATTAATCAGCAAATGGGCCATTTAACTGAATTTATCGGTAACCCATTTATCGGAGGTTAACTAGGGCCATATCTATATATCCTAGGCTATATAACAACATGCAGTGTACTAAGTGTCTAAATATGCAATCCTAGGCTACATAGCAATAAGGAAAATTGTTGCCATGATGTTCTGATGATGTTGCGGCCAATCTAGAAGGACATAAACCTGCACAATGAAAAGTAGGGAGGGAACGGGCCAGTTTTGGGCTAAAAAATGCCTACCGGTTAATTGGCCCAGCCAAAAATTCAGCCTGGCAGCTGATAAATCGGCTTGTCAGACAAATTAACTGGACATACCAGTTAATGGCTTGAATAGCATGTTCCCGTATCGGGAGGGGTATGAATAGCAGTTAACTGACCAATATTTGGAACAGTGTACACCAGCTAGCTTCCATATGCATTTGATGGTTGTACATGGTACTCTAGTTAACCGCTCAATAATGGAGAAACTTAACAGTGTAAAAAAAAAATCGAACCGGGCTTTTCCCCTTTTCATTACTTTCATAACAGAAATACATTGTCTCAGGAACTGAAACTATCAGGACTAGGGAAAGAAGAAAAGCGAGTTCGGAGCAACATCAGGAAACCCACCATCTGCGCCTGTCATCCATCAGGAACGACAGATCATGGGGCGAAAACCTGATATCACCCAAAGCCGCACTACAGGGACCTACATAAGATGTGTGGTCTGCATCCTCAAGTATGAGGCCACCTAGTCTAACTGCATATGACTGTGGCTGAAATTCACAGAGATGTCTTACAAAATCTTACCTTGTAAACAGTTCCATATGCACCAGTACCAAGTTTTCGGTTCTCAGAAAAACCATTTGTAATTTCTTCTAATAAATGGAATGTAAGAGGCCTTGGCGACACCGTGTGCGTGTTATTCCCTCTACTACTGGTAGACAAAATGAATACAGCAACGTCACATGAGAGAAATTGTTAAGCTTGTATAAGGATTTGAGGCTCATAGCGAAAACTGCCTTTCTCCTTGTTGGCGTCGTCTGGCAGCAGACCAGCCGAGCTTGCGAAGCATCTTATCCATGCCTGGAAACACAAAACAGAACTAAATACAGTATATGGATTTCCGTGTAGATTTCCGCTATGGTTCCATATTTATCAAACGGTTGAGTAGCACAGAAGGGGAATTTTTTGGTGGGTTTGCAGACCGGGCCTGAGATGAGGTCGATCTTTCTTTAAGACCAAATTAAGAAGCAAGAATTTAACCACAGGTTACAAATTAAATCAAGCAGCATGAGGCGCCCGGGAGGGAGGCTGGGAGCAGAGCATGGTACTAACCTGGGAAAATTGCTGCTCTGTGGAACTATATGTGATGGTCAACGCTCCTGGAAGGGGAATGAGCCTGCAGCTAGCGATGGCGCTTGTCTAGGTCTGTAGCCAGTGGCCACGGACCCAACAACCAAACGGAGGGTAGCACGGTCCAATTTTGTTTTATTTTTTGCCCAACACATCTGCAGTACAAAAATTGGCACAACAAAAAAAGACATAAAATGGCTCGGTTCTAGATAGTACTCCTACATGTTTGGAATTTGCAAAATTATTACAGTAGGAAGAGCTGTAAAACAGTCTTACAACATGAGTAAGCATCGATTTGTTTGTTTCATTCAACAGGAATAAGCATCAACCAAATCTACAAACTACATACACGTACCTAACACATCAAGCCCCGGAGTTACAGTGTTCGGGCCACCGGCCGCCTCCCCCAGCGAAATCCACACACACGCATACGTCTCGTGTCGACGCCGGCGTGGAAGAGCCAGGCGCTGCCGCGCTGGAGCAGGCAGTGCTGGGCGCGAGGAGGGGGTCGGGGAGATGAAGCATCGGCGGTCGCTGCAGGTGGAGGAGCTTGCCGGCAAGGTGGGCGCGACCGCGCGGCGGCGCCGGAGTGGAGTCAGGGAGTGGTCGGAGCTCGGAAGCAGAGGGGAATTAGGGATCCAGACATTCAGTGGCGGTCTATCGCAAACGGGGAGCGCCTACTCCCCCCGACCTCTTTTTTTTTTTGGGAAACACCTTCCAGACCTGGCCAAACGGGCTGTGCCGTGCCGGCCCATGGGGCGCTGCTCCTTGGCCCAGGCACGGCTTGATTAGTAAACGGGCCGGCCTGATGGCCCGTTTAGCATGTTGGGCTTTAATTTTTCAGCCTGTTAGGCTGGTTTTTAGGCCTATTGGGCTATATTTTAGATGTGTATATATAAAAAAAATTGAAAATTATATAAAAAATTAAACGGATCGTGCCGTGCCGGCCCGCATGCCCAGACTCCAGGCCCAGGCACAACCCAAGGCGTGCCACGTGTCGGGCACGACCTGGCCCATGGCGGACCGTGCCGGCGTGCTTGCGGGCTGGCCTGTTTGGCCCGGCCCATTTGGCCAGCTATAACACCTTCCCCCGACCTTTTTTCTATTTTTTTAAGAAACGGGGAGCGCCTAGGGTAAACAGCAAACGCGCACCCCACCCGCACACTTTGGGTCGGCCGATTGCGGGCGCCTCTGTTTTTATCATTCCGTGTTTCCTTTTTCTTCTTTTTCCTTTCTTATGCTTTTATAAAACATTCAAACATCCGAAAATAAATCTGAATTTAAAAAAAACAGAAATTTGAAAACACGAACGCGAAAAAAATGATGGTGAATTCATAACGAATTCAGAAAATGTTTGCCAATTCAAATAATGTTCATAAACAAAGTTCACAAATTTGGAAACTTCTCACGATTTGCAAAAAGGTTCATGCATTCAAAATTGTTCATGATTCTAAAGAAGTTTATGAAATTTATAAAACATTTGTGAATTTGAAAAAAGGAAAAAGGAAAGGAAAAGGATAACAAAAAAGAAAATAAAAAACAGAAAAATGAAAGGAGAGAGAGAGAGAGAGAGAGAATGCAGACACATAGTAATGGGTCAGCCCATTCCTGCGGTTGGGGGTGCGCCTTTGGTCGCTATCCCCCGACCCACGCGGGAAATAGGATCGACCTTCACAAACAATAGGACGAACTGGACGACGACAGGCAGGAATGGGCGGTGAGCTTACCATAAGTGTGCTTTTGCAAATCTTTTTCTTTGAGAGAGGGCTTTTGACAACTTTTTTTACAATAGTGTTTTTGCCAACTCTAGATAATTGCCCATGCATGCCTAATGGGCGCTAGTACAACTCTACCCTCTCGTTTAGGGTTCCCTGCTCCGGCGGCGATTTAGGTCACCGACTAGATATTCCATTACCAGTGGTTCCCTAGCTTCCTGTGGACGGGCTAGATGTTGGATTCGATGGGAAGGTTTTTAAGGGACCATGGCTATGCCATTGATGAGGAACGTTGCATGAAAATCAAAAATTTCCTACGAACACCCAAGATCTATCTAGGAGAAGCATAGCAACAAGAGGAGAGAGTGTGTCTAGGTACCCTCGTAGACCGTTAAGCGGAACGTATATCACGCGGTTGACGTGGTCGTACTCGTCAGGATCCAATTGCGATCCAAACTGATGAAGTACCGAACGGATGACACCTCCGTGTTCAGCACACGTACGGCTCGATGGCGTCTCCTCCTCCTTGATCCAGCAAGTGAGGGAGGATAAGTAGATGGGATCGCCGGCAGCATGATGGCGTGACAGTGATGGTGGTGGAGTGATTCCGGCAGGGCTATGCCGAGCGCTATCGAAACAATGAAGATGGAGGAGTTACAAAGTAACAGGAGAGAGGGGGGATCAAGGCTTGTCTGTCCTCTTGGGGACGCCCCTTCCCCTCTATATATAGGTGGAGGCGCATGATGGCCAGCCCTCCAACCTCTAGGGTTGGCGCACCAAGGGGGAGGAGTTGGACTCCTAGTCCAGTTCCCTCCTTTCCATACACATGTGGACTTTCCAGCTTTCCCAGCCACATGGGCCTTGAGGGACTTGTGCGCCTGGCCCAATAAGGTTAGGGCGCTTCCCCTCAGCCCATGTTGAACCTTGGGACATGCATGGTGGAACCCTTGATGGACTTCCGGACTCCTCCAGAAGTTTCTGAAACCTTGTGTTGAAAGTGCGTTATATCGACTAGAGGGGGGTGAATAGGCGATTTTTATGAATTCTTCACTGAGGAATTTGCCGGTGAGGAAATTCCTTCGCGAAGAACTACTTGCAGCAGAATAAGTACTCAGAAGTAAGCATAACAGAATACAGGCATGGTAATCATGATGAAATGAAGACAAGTACAGAGTACAGAAAGCGTAATCACAGGATAACACAAGATGAAGACAAACAGACTGAAGAAATTGAACTGAGGAAATTGAGAAAGTCTTCAGTCAAAGTCTTCAAACACAGATATGATGAAGCACTCAACACAGTAATGAGGAAATGAAAGAGTTGAGGAAATAGAAGCAGTAAGCTTGGTGAAGACAATGATTTGGTAGACCAGTTCCAACTGCTGTCTCAGTTGTACATCTGGTTGGAGCGGCTGAGTATTTAAACTCGAGGACACACAGTCCCGGACACCCAGTCGCTGAGCACGCAGCTCAGGACACCAAGTCCTCACCGTATCCTCCTTGAACAAAGGTCACACAGACCTCGTCCAATCACTCATGGTAAGTCTTTAGGCGACTTCCAAACCTTCACAAACTTGGTCACTCAGCGATCCACAATTCCTCTTGGATGCTCTACACCATGACGCCTAACCGTCTAGAAGAAGCACAGTCTTCAAAGGTAACAAGCGTCGGATCCACGCAGGATCAATCTCTTCAGTGATGCTCAATCACTTTGGGTTTGTAGGTGTTAGATTTGGGGTTTTTCCTCACTCGATGATTTTCGCTCAAAGTCCTCGGAGGATGGGTTGCTCTCAAATGACAAGTGTCAAGTTCTCTCGGAGCAGCCAACCAGCTAGTGGTTGTAGGGGGCGGCTATTTATAGCCTAGGGAGCAGCCCGACATGATAAGACATAAATGCCCTTCAATGGTATGACCGTTAGGTGGATAAGATATTTTGGGACAACTGGCGCGCAGCACAGCAACGGTCGGAAATTTGACTCTCAAATTCCTCAGGGCTATCATGTTCCTCACTGTGTAGGCAATCCGCACTAGCGAATTCCTAACTCCTCAGTCAGAACAAATTCCTTAGCGACCAGAAGAACTTCGTCTCTGTCACTGAAGAAATTGACTGAACTGTATGAGATTTCCAATGGCTTCACTCGAATGGATTGGTAGGTGTAGGATTTTGAGTTGAGCATCACATGGAAATTTTTCCTTAGTATTTCCTCGACCCCCTTTAACAGTACAGTGTTTCCTATGACTCAAGAAAGAGAAAAACAAAACTACGAAAACAAAAGTCTTCACGCTTCATGTTCCTCAAATGAATACCAAGTCTTCAAGGTCACACCAATTTCTTCACTTTCAAAGTCTTCAGAAAGTCTTCGGAATACCAAAGTCTTTAGACGAAGAACTTCATTTTTAGGGGTCGACTTTCTCTATAAATATCAAACTCCTCATAGACTTATAGACCTGTGTACACTCATAAACACGTTAGTCCCTTAACCTATAAGTATTCAATACACCAAAATCACTAAGGGGCACTAGATGCACTTACAATCTCCCCCTTTTTGGTGATTGATGACAATATAGGTTAAGTTTTCAATGGGGATAAACATATGAAGTGTAAATACTGATATTGAGGAATTTGATTGCAAGATATAGAAGAACTCCCCCTGAAGATGTGCATAGTGAGGAATTTTCTTTTGAGGCAATGCACATTTGAAGAGTTGAATCATGGAGATCTCCCCCTATATCTTGTAATTCATACACGCATTTGACATATAATATGAAGAATTTGAAATGCGTGATGAAATATGGTGACTGATGTAATTCAGCATGTGTGTATTAACATAAAATGAGGAATAAGCATGCAGAGGAACACATCAAAAGTATCGGAGCACCATCGGGTTTAAGATTACAACTCGATCCAATAAAGTTTCAGAAGAACGAGAGTTGTAACTTAGCAAAAAAACGCCCATATAATAGACCCGCTTGAAGACTAACTCAAATTTCTCCCCCTTTGTCATCGAATGACC